AGTTCAGAAAGCAGGTCGTTGATATAGACTAGGAAGAGTGTGGGAGACAGGACACCTCCTTGTGGGACGCTATGGCGCAGCAAAACTTTCTTACTCTCAAGTCCATCTATCTGTACTCGGGATCTTCTGTTATACAAGTATGCTTTCACCCATTTGTACATACTCCCATTCACCCTGCAGTCTCTCAGTTTCTTCAGTAGACCTTCTTTCCAGACCTTGTCAAAGGCTTTCTTCAGATCTATCCATGCCGTTAACACTAGCTTCTTTTCCTGGAAGGCATCCTCAATTTCTTGTGAAAGGTAAGTTGTCTGGTCTTCTGTGGAGTAGCACTGTCTAAATCCTGCCTGCTGCGGCATGAAAATGTTTTCACTTTCCAAGTACCATTGGAGTCTAAGGTTGACAATACGTTCCATTGTTTTACAGAGGCAGCTGGTAAGACTGATCGGTCTATAGCTGGAGGCATCAGAACTGTCCTTTCCTGGTTTAAGCAGAGGTATTGTAATTGCTTCTCTACATATCTGAGGAACTTTGCCACTGGTCCAACAATGATTAAAGATCTGTAGCAGCTTTATTTTGGCAGTTGTTCCAAGGTTCTTGATCATTTCGTTGGTGATTCCATCAATTCCAGGTGATTTCCCATTCTCAGCTTTGATATTGCTAGCTCTAACTCGCTAGATGTTAATGCTGCCACCAGTGCCTCAGGAATTATATCATTTTGTCTTGAATGCTGTTTGTTCTCTTTAACCTCTCGCTGTTTCTCTGGGCTGACATTAACCCTTTCGCTGCTGCGCCCTCCGCCAGCCAATGTAACCACTGTGCTAAGCCTGGCGAGAGCTAATCTTTTCCCCTGTGCTGAATACCGTTTTTTCCTTCAAAAGCAGAAGACGCGCTTGCGGCACGGGGTAAAAATTGTACACCTAAAATAAAAAATCGTTGAAGGCGTGTGGTTGAACTTTGCGCTGACAAGTCAGACGCGCTATTACTACGCCGTGAAAACTCATTAACAAAAAGAAAACACTACAAACTTACAAAGCAAACACAAAACACTTTAGTAAGCAAATACATGGTTTTTATTATTATTAATAATATCTTTGTGTGTGAAATATTTCAAAACAAGGTGCGACACACAATGCCAAATCACATTCCCTGCACATGTATCTGGTTTTCCGTCGTTTTTTGCTTTTTGCGCATACCACACACTTTCTTGTTGGGAATTTTTTTCTGCGATGTTACGGACTCTATTATTGAAGGGAAATGCCTTTGTACTAAACGAAGTGGCAGATCTTCACTTTTTTGTCCTCCTACACTTTTTCTCTTTTCCTTGCAATATTTATGTAGAATTTCTCTTACTAACTTTAAGTGAAATTCGGCAACAGGTGTGTTTTTCACCACAACAACTTTATATAATGAATGTGCACAGTACACAAACCACGCTTCACATAACGTGTAAAGCATCTAAATCCACCTGAACGCACGTGACAGGGTGTTTAATTAATTATTACTTTGGTTATCTGTTGCCGAAAATGCTAACAGCTTAAATTTAAAATTTGCATTTAAAATAATTAATTTTAAAAAAAAACGGCACGTAGGGGTTGAACGCTGGACCTTTCGATTGCAAGGCAGACGTGATACCAACTACACTAGAAATTCACATGAAACTATGAACTGAAAAAAAGACCAGTATTGTACACTTTAATAGACAAACACATTTATGTCAGTTGTATAGTATATAATTAACATTAATATTAATCATCACGTCAGTACGTGACCATATTTTTTTTTTTTTTTGATTATTTTGGATCCGTTTCAAATCCAGTCGATGAAGATAGCTAGGTCATATAGTTTGTTCACAGCCAGAAGTACACGTGTCCGCCGGCGTGCCGCGAAGATAACGCAGCTCATATAACTCACACGTTTCAAAGTGATCCTTACTACTACTCCTTGAAAGAAACTCAATTAATTTTTCTTTATTTAAACAAATGTTCTTGACTAACGCAAAACCAGAAATATATTTCAGGGCAAAAAAATTACCGATCACCGACAATGCTTCTATGGTAACAAAGAAACAGGATAACGTGAAATGCATCTAAATACGCCTAAACTCACTTGATAAGGGTTTTAATTGTATGTAAACGGGTCAGTTTGATCAGATTAAGTAAATGTGTATTGCTATTTCACCCCTAAGAATTACTGTCCTTAGCAATCTGTAAAAAAATGTCCAGAACGAGATATCTCGTCCTTAGCAGTGAGGGCACAGAAAATTGCAGCCGAGTTATCTCGTCTTTAGCAGTCTGCCGGGCAGACGAGTTATCTCGTCCATAGCAGCGAAAGGGTTAATGTTGCTGTCTTCTGCAAAGGAATCTGCAAAGTGGTCAGCTGCCTGTTTTCTTATTAGGATGGCTCCCTCTTTGCATAGTGCAATATTACCATTTCTTCCTGTATTCTCATCATTAATTTGTTTAATTAACCTCCACAACTTCCTTGTGTCTCTTTCAAAGTTTAGAGACTTTGTCTTTTCCTGCCAGCTTGTCCGTCTAGCCTGCAGTTTGGTTCTTTGAAATTTGGCCTTTAAATGTTGGTAGTTGTTGAACTGCTCTTGACAAGGTCTGGTCTCAGCTAGTTTTCTTTCTGTTTCCATATTGTTGTGCAGTTGCTCCAGATCGCAATTCCAGTAAGGTTTATATTGTTTACGCGCACCTCTTGGAACTGCTTCTAGAGCTGCCTGCAGCATGCGTTTGCTCAACTCTTGGACTACTTTTTCTACGTCATTATCTGTGTTCAGATTTTCCAGCAGAACATTTGTGCGAAGCTGATACAACTTCTAGTCTGCCTTCTTAAAATTCCACCTTGGCAGTGTGCTGCTCTCTCTTACAGACTGGCTTTCTATAGTTAGACTGGCCGGTGGTCACTGCCTCCTAGTTGCTTCCCAACAGTTCTGGTAACATTCAGTTCCATGTCTGCTGAGTGAAAGGCTAGGTCTGGTGTTGAGGTGGCATGCCATGCTCTTGAGTAGAAGGTTGGTGTTTCGGTTGGCTTTTCAACGAGGATGAACCTATTCTCATCCTGCCAGTCCTCTAGTTTCTCTCCTCTCTGATCCATGTGATCGTAGCACCAACTTTGGGAGTGGCTATTAAAATCACTTCTATAGCTATTTCTGACAATGTCCTTAGGATGTATATGGCATTGTTTGTACCCTTTCCTTCTACAAATCCACATTGTTCATTGCTGATTTCTGGTTTAATTTTGTTTCTTTTTTTTCTCATAATTATTCTCAGTAAAGTCTTAGTCATGTGACTCATAAGACTTATTGTGCGATGGTCTTCACATTTTAAAGTGCCTGGTTTCTTTGGCAGAGCTATAAATATGAATTTTAAAAGGTCATTTGGAATATACCCACTATTATAAATATCATTTAAAAGTTTAGTGATTATTTTAATTCCAAAATCTTCCAGTGCTTCGATTTCTTCCAAGTGAGATGTTGTCTGGCCCGGGTGCTTTTCCTTTCTTCACATAATGTATTGCATCCTCAACTTCTGCAGTCATTATTGGTGGACCATCATTGTTGGTCTGCAGTGCTACATTTGGTCTATTATCATCATACAATTCCCCTATATACTCTGTCCATCTGCTAATTATATTACTATGTCCCATTAAAAGTCACCATCTTTTGATTTCAAATATCCAGTGCTGTTATGTGTCATCTTTTCTGTTAACATATTTATCTGTTGGTACTTGGAAGGTGAGTCTTTCCTGTGATTTTCCCCAATCTCTGTACACATTTGATTCAGCCAGGCTTCTTTAGCCACTTTGCATTTGTTCACTATTTCTTTTTGTATTCTAGAGTATTCTTCTTTATCATTCTTTTTCTTCCTAGTTTCATCCATCAACTGCAGAATTTCGGTTGACATCAATTTCTTTTTTGCTATTCTATGGGTTGGTGGGATTGTCTCTTTTGATGTCTGATGAACAAACTCACGCAACATATCCCACTGTTCATCAATAGTCTGTTTAATTTCCATTGCGTTATACCGGTTTTGTAAAGTGACACTGTACTGTTCCCTTATTTCTTTATCCGTTCTAAGAATTCCTAAATTCAACTTGATGTTCTGTGGTGTTTTTCTAATGTTCTTTAGTTTTATTCTAATTTTTTCTACAACTGGAACATGGTCACTAAAGCAGTCTGCTCCTGTCAACTATCTAAACTATCAGCTCTCCTCTGAACTTTTACCCCCGTATTATGGCGGCCTGAAATATCCTTACGGGGCTCAGTCATATGTAAAATGCAGACTTTCTGCCACGGAACAAATCGCAGCAAAACTAGGATTACTTGACAATTTCAAGAGACGCAACATTGCAGACGATAGTAGCAGACGATAGTAGCAGACAATAAAAGTGATCGTTTACAATTTCCAGCGTTTCTGCAGACGATACTAGCAGACAATAATAGCGACCATTGACATTTTCGAGACATTACAGACGATGAAAACGATATAGCGGGTAGACCACGTGCTCCCACGAAGATTAGCAATACTGTTTAGCGGCGGTAGATGTGAGACTTTTCAGAATGCGCAAAACGCGATTAAACTCACCGCCAAGCGTATCCGCCGCGCCGCGGATGGGGAGCTAAACTAGGTGCCTGGGACTCCCGAGCAACTTAATTGGAGAAAGTTGCAGGAGATGCGGTAGCTGCAGCTCGTGTGTCCCAGCCATCTAGTTTAGCCCCTATCCGCGCCGCGGGATACGGTCGTCGGTGAGGCAGTCACAGAAACAGGTCCGCAAGAAACATATCGCTGAGACCCTGTGAGAGCATTTGTTTCGTTATACGGAGCCGGCATATTTTAAATAGAACTGAGCCCCGCCGTAAGGAAGGATATTTTATGGCCGCCATAATGCCGTGGTAGTAAAAGTTCGGAGGAGAGCCAAACTATCTTATTTCTTTCTTCGACCAATGTAAATTATGTTAGTCGTATTAAGTTAATTACTCGTGTGATTCTACTTACCTTCATAACAATACGCCCAAGAGGTTTGTCATCTTTGGTGATATCAAAAAACACACGGACGTTGGCCATTTTTTTTTTTTTACGAGTATCGTCCTGTTGTGTTTGATCTTTTATTTAATCTTTCAGTTCAGTAAGTTTTTTTAATCTGCGCATGCCTAGAAAGTTGCAGTGTTGCCACTTTTCTTTGACAAAAAATATCCAAAACGGTGTCGAAAAATATCTAAAAAGATCTAAATTTGGATGTAAAAGATCTAGAATAAACATCCAAATTGAAAAAAAAAAAATTACAAAGCTTTTGTTATGACTTATCCTATAGAATCATGTCCTCACCTTCACTGATGTCTGCCTCACAAGATCCACAGGATAAACTTAGCTTGGATAATGAAGTTGAAGCTTCAGATCCAAAATGACCCTGGTATGCTTTAGCTGTTCAAAGTTCTTTATAAGTGGAACAGTAGGCTTATTTCTCTAGTCTCATCAGGCCGAATTTTAATGGCACGATAGCATTTCTTCTTTTCTTTTGTCAAAATCTGCTTGTGCCGCTAGGCGTCGCAGTCTATCAGATGATCGGCAACCGAGCCAGGGCGCGCTCAGTCGCTTCATATGACGTGATGTTATGAAGTCTCAAGTTGTCCGTGACTCCTTCAGTCCGTTTTCTTCTTGGTCTTTCCCTGCCTCTTGGTGTTTCGATTTTCATGTTGTATGCTCTTGATGCTGGCATCGTTGGTTCCATTCTCATTAGGTGACCAAACCATTTCATTCTTTGCTTCTCAATAAATTTAACGATGGGTATTGTTCCAATAGTTCTTGTAATCACATCGTTTCTCACTCGATCTCTTCTGGTTTTATTCGCAGCCATTCTCAAACATCTCATTTCACAGGTGGTTAGTCTTCTCTCGTGTTCTTTTGTTAATGTCCAAGTCTGACATTGATTACCTTATGTAGGTAAAAAGATTGTATTTATAATTTGTCTTTTTATCTCAGCTGGGACAGCAGGGTGTTTTAAAATTGGGGCAAGCTGGTATGCGACATTGTTGGCTTGTTGGATTCTTGCTTCGATCTCTCTGTCCATTTTACCATTGAATGTAAAGATACTTCCCAAGTATTTAAATTCTCGCACTTGTTTTAGGCTGTGATCTAGAATCTTTATGTCGATGGTCTGTTGCTCTCTACTTATGCTCATGTCTTCTGTCTTTTCAGTATTGATCTTCATATGATGCTTGAGGCAACTGTCGTGTAGTAGGTTTATGTGGTCTTGCAGCTGTTTACTATCACTGTGAAAGATGCATTTAAGAGGTACAATTTCATCCTATTTTTTAGGTTAGATTTGAGATAATTCCTAGCACTGAAAACTCTTTCTACGTTAGCATTTGAGTGGGGTAGTATCATGGCAGACAAGGCACTTTAAAGAACTTACAGAATGGACTGTTTGATGAGGCATCTTTAAATTGTCTCACTTCCCTCCAAAACGCTTTAATTTCTGTTTTGTTTGTCAGTTCAGCTAACTTTATTTTGGTTAACTGATATTCTGCTTCCGCGACACTATTATCAGTAGCCCCAAAAAATCTCATAACTTTACAATATTTAGGTATGTCCTTTATTGGCTGAAGTATGTTGCTCACAGAAAAAAATGAAATATTTTTCAAAACATCTAGATTTTCAGGAAGTCTCTGCTTCAATTGCTTCAATAATGAGATAAGGAAATCTTGACAGCGTTTTCTTAAGTTGTTTTCTTCATTCTCTGTTAACAGTCCTTTTGTTTTTAAATCATCAATTTTTGATTCGATTTAATATCCAAGGTGTGGCTTAGGGGCCAAATAGCTCTCTATAGTGCAAGTGAGCAAATCAGCTTTAGAAGTTGGCAACGCCAGTCTTTTACCGAGTGAAATAGCAAGGTGAGATCATCAAGTAATTTAACTTTATCAACAAGTTTAGATTCGAACAGTTTATTAACTTTTTGCACTTCCATTAGAATAGGTTATAAAAAGAGAATTAATGACAAATTTTTTTCATCACTGTACATTCCATATAGTATTTCAGCTGTGTAGCACTTTTCACTTTGCCTTGTTATTTCAAAGTGTGTCTTCAACTTCAGCCATTGCTTCATAATTCTTTCAACGGCTGGTTAAATTGATAACCATCTAGTTTTGCAATCTGACAGAATTTTCGGTGGTGTGGAACCATCATTCAAGGCTGTATATAATGTATTGTATTGCTGTTGTCTGACAAATGATTTGGAAAACCAGTAAAGTGTTTCAGCAATAAGGTATTCCAAATTCCTTGGTAAATATTTAGATAAAGCATGTGATAATGCTAGCTGCAATGAATGACGCATACATTTTATAAGTATTAACAATGGGTTAGCTTCCTTCAACTTGGCATAAACGCCATTGTTTATACCAACCATCACTGAGGCATTATCAGTACCAATTACAGCCGAATTCTTCAAGCCTAACTGTTTGCTGATTAAAAGGTCCTTCAGTTCCTAAACTGTACTTTCTACATCACACTTTCAAATTGAACTAGTCCAAGATTTTTTACAAATCGATCAAATGGTCACAGTTTGAAATTGCGCAGTGACAAATTAAAAACATTGCGACTGATACTTCAACTTTTGATGATTCATTTATCAGTGTAGTTCTGAAAACAGATGTCAGCGGTGTAATATCTTTAAATGAAACTGCAGTTTTATGCTTTTTTAGTCTCTTCATGACTCTTTGAGTTTTGTATTTTCGCTTTATTTCACACTTGCAGTACTTACAACAAGCTTTGGTCACATCCCCAGTTTTTAATGTTGTCATCATGCAACCACTCTTTCCAAATTTTTTGTTCATACTTTACTTTTGGCATATTAAAAGGTTTTTTCAAAGTGAAAGCCACATAAAAAGGTGAGCAATTATTTTTTTTTAATCACATGAAAAAGAAACGTAAAGTCAGCACAGTGAGATACGGTTAAAACAAAGTTAGTATGATTTACGCGCGTTTTTATTAATCAGTACCGGGGCTGCCAGATATTTGTGCGTTGACCCCAGTGAGAGTTCAAAGTTTAAGTAATGGCAGTTGTCACAATGTACGTGCCAGACAAAAACAAAAATATTGTGGTAAATATTTTACACAGTAATTATTAAATTGACAATGAAAGAAAAAAATCTATAAAATATCTAACTCCATATGAAAATATCTACAAAGATATTTACGATCTAAACGTCAAAAACAGTATCTAAATACAATGAAAAAGATCTAAATTTGGATATAAAAGATCCAAAGTGGCAACACTGGAAAGTTGTCTCTTCTTGGCAGGGCTGCCAGTTTAAAAAAAACTTAATTTTATGCCAAACTATTACCCAAAATATGCCAGAAAATGCCAAATAAAATGTAATACAGATCAAAAAGCTCTAGATTGAATTCTTCACTGTCATCCTCACTGGAACCAGTGGAAGATATAGCGTAAACCTTTTCGGATGTAAAATCTTTAAGCATTTTATTAGATGGGATGAAGTCTTTGCAACTCATCGATAATGATGGCATATTTCTTGTTCCGAAAATCATCAATAAGGTCATCCTTAAGTGCAGGCGATTTAATATTTATTATTAGGCATGAACATTAAGTTCTATATATTATCAATGCCCTCAGAGAAATGGGAAGGATAGAGGACTTTGGTGGCAGTGAATCCACATCACTCGCCAGAATGGCAGACTTGGGAATTAAGATCGGCACAGCAAAAAACGAGACGCACACCAGCTACGCCAGAAGACTTGTTAATCAACATAGAACTGGTACTATTAGCCATCGGAGGTTGGGGTTAATACTGAGGGGAGGATCTGAGCACCTATGGACATGTCCGGAGTGCAATGAGGATAACCCAGCTAACTAACTAACTAATTAAGTTCTATGCAACTGTATGTGCCCCAGTGTACTCCCTGACCATGCTCTTTTATGATTTCACTTAGATGATCAGTAGTGCATATTGTACAATGGCAGGTCATGCCAACTCTGCTGCCTTTAGTTTTATCATGACTTTGCCGAGGAGTCATTGTTGTAATACGGTGTGACTGGCTTTTAGGCGTCGTTTTCATCTTGCGTTTTTCGGATTTGCCATGTTTTGATATGCTACTAATTCTCGGTGCAACATTGCACTGACACGTTTGCAATATGCAGCCGCTGATCCGTTTTCTTCTAGTTACTATTATACTTGCGATGTCATACGTTGCTTTTTTTTTGGGGGGGGGGGGGGGGGGAAGACGTGGCCATTGGTAAAAGTAATAAATCTATCAAAGATAGAACAAGGTCTATATCCTCTCTATTTTCTGTCTTCAAGTAGTTTCTGAACAGTCTGAATCACGTTGTATCAGTTGTGGGTTTTGGTTTTATATCCCGCATTCATTCTAGTAGATTAACATACATTACAGAGGGCCTTAGTTTACCGAGGTCACGATCCTTTTAGGAAGACGGAAGACAACAAATACAATAAGAAATGGCGCGAATCTCCGTTAGTCCGTACCAAGACATCACAACAAAGTCAAACTGAAAAAAAAAAGATGTTAATTGTAGGTCTGCATGGCTTTTAGTAAATCTGCGTGTTTCTAACTGAGGAACCATACAGAAAATGTGAGCGAATCTTGATTTTAAAAAAAGGGCCAGGGAAAACCCAAATATGCTAACATATGCCAGTTTATTGTATTATCTTCTTTTCTTATTCTTCTTCTTCACTTCCTCTTTTACCACTGTGGGTGTCGAGGGAGGTATAAGGTTCTGTTTCTAGCTCTTCTGGCCGCCTCGACCATAGGCACATCGTGCTGTTGTAGAGTTTCTCTGATGATATCCTTCTATCTTGTTCTTGGTCTACCTCGTGCTCTACATCCTTCTTCTCTTTCCATGTATGCTTTGTATGGTATGGAGTCACAAGGCATTCTCTCTAAGTGGGCAAACCATTTCACTTGCTGTCTTCGTATGTAATTTAGAATTGGTTCTGTGCCGACTTTTTCTCTTATGATCTCACTTCTGATCTTATATCTTATGGTCACTCCTACAGCCCTTCTCAGACATCTCATTTCCATGGTTTCTAATTTTCTTTTATGGTTTGTTGTGAGTGACCATGTCTGGCACTGGTAGCACAGAGTTTGAATAAATATGCTTTGAATAAGATGTCTCTTTGTGCTGATTGGGATTGTCTTATGCTGTAAGAAGAGGGGGGGGGGGGGGCTAGCTGTCCCAATACTTGGTTTGCTTTACTACATCTAATGTTAATTTCTTTATCCAATTTCCCATCTTCGGTAAATGTAGTTTCCAGATATTTAAACTCAGATGCCTGTTTAATGCCTTTGCACTCTATTGCTATGTTTAGATCTGTCTTCTTTTTTCCTGTTGACATTACTTCTGTCTTTTCAGTGTTGATTCTCATATTATTTGTTTTACATTCTTCATTCATGGATGTTAGATGTTGTTGCAATTTCATGGCTGTATCTGCTATCAAGGCCTGATCATCTGCAAAGAATAATTCGTTGATCCTACTAACATTTTCATTCATGGGCTTGGCATTCTTGCATATACTGTCGATGTAGGTGGCACGAAGCCACACCATACTTCGCCCACGCCTAGCAATCCCCTACTTTGTTCTGTTACCACCTCTCACTACGAGGACATGGGGTTGGACTTTGAGAGACTTTTGAATTGTATTATGCTAGTTCAATTTCAAATATGCCAAATTTAAGGAATCTGGCATAAAAAATGCCAATATGGCAACCATGCTTACTAGGCGAGTTATAACCTTGCCCTTGTCAATGTACGGTCCCACCATCCCCTCTACCTCTCCACCTCCGCCAAGGTCATAGGAATTTTCCTCTGCGTGGGTATAACCTCGTTTTTAATTTGAGGCGCTGTAAGAGTTTGTTATTATTATATATATATATATATATATATATATATATATATATATATATATATATATATATATATATATATATATATATATATATATACAATAAATATAATAAATAATAACCCAAACCACAAACAATTTATAGTATCTGCCTGTTAAAAAAAATTACATTTTGTGTGTACCCTTTAGAGAGCCCTTTAATTTAGAAAATAAAAATGTGACTATTTCTTTTACGTTCACGGTATTCATTTTAATTATTTGTTTTATTTCTTGCGCAAAAAAAAGGTTTTTATTGAAGAAAACATAGCAATATAAATAACACTAAATGTATTATTTTCCTGGTCACTTTGTAACATTTAACAGCCAAAAGCAATCATCTACTGATTTGTTAATGTTTTGTACTAGTAATCAGTCAAATCCACGTTAAATGGTGGAACTGATTAAAGTGATGATTAAACTAAATCATTCATAATTATAGCCAACATAGGGCGTTTTGCTAGATAGAGTACATGTTCACATCTCTCATTAGATCTCGGTGCTTAGTGTTGTTAAGAACATTTGAACAGGTAGATAACATCTTAGTCGCGTTCACCCGCTGTAAATTTCGGAGGAAAGTTCTGGTTGTTTGTCCACCTCTGGACATTTGTCTTGCTCAGGAACCTCAATCTCGCGTGTACATACGTTTTACAGATCTGATTTACTTGTATGCAGATTGCTGGTTCCTTGCCTCTCCGGCAGATGCACTCCGTCTTCGAAGGAAGCACCCACTTAGTCGACTCTTACAACATGCGTGTTGTGGAGGCAGTGGCTGTATTCTTGCCCCCCCCCCCCCCCCCCCACACACACAATGAGGTTCCGGAACCTTTGCTTTCAACAAATCCCCACTGCTCTTCTCCAGTTTCTGGTTTAATTTTACACTTTATTCTTCTCATGATAATTATCATTAATATTTTGTTAACATAACTCATTAAACTAATTGTTCGATGTTCTCCACATTTCACTGCCCCAGATATTTTTGGCAAAGATATGAAAACAGATTCCGAAAGGTCAACAGGTGCGTGTCCACTGTTACAAAAATCCGTTACAATTTTGTCAAAACTAAACCGAGTTCACCAGCAGATTTTAATTCTTCAATCATGAAGTCTTCTTCTTCCTCTTCGTGTTCACCAGCTGTAAGCTCTGGCGGAAAGTTCTGGTTGTTTATTCAATGTCAGACTGCTGTCCTGTCCCAGAACCCGAGTGTTGCGAATCGTGATGTTATCTGGCCCTGGAGATTAAAATCTCTTCATAATTGTAGTTTATAGCATCTTCTACTTCTGCTTTCAGTATTGTCGTCCTTCCCAGTACTCCTGACTCTCTATGTCTGGTCAGGACATCACACAAGCGATAAACACCCGATGACACAATGTGCCACCATGTGGATGAGCATCACCATGGAGAGGTCCCAGAAACCGCGTTCAGTCATTAGGCCATATTTATGGCCTAGCTATATTGTGGCCCCTGGCAAGAGCCAGGATGGAGCTTCAAATAAAGAAAAAATTTCACCCTAAAAGGACGGCATGTATATTAAAAACTCTGCTGTTATCATCGTATAGTATATTAATAACTCTGCTGTTATCATCGTATAGCTCTTTTATATACTCTGCATCTTTCAGTTACCTTCTCTTTGTCCCTTAAGATTTCACCCTCTTTTTTTTTCAAGCAACTACTTGTATAGTTTTGAAAAAATTATAATTCTTGTATTCTTTTATACATGTCTTGTGTGTTCTCTCTTTGTTCCTCAATTTCTTTGCACTTTTTATTTAGCCACACTTTTTTCACTGCATTACATTTGCGTACAATCTCTATGTATTCTTTTATAGTAATCTTGGTTGTGTGTTTTTTTTTATTCCAATTTCCATCAGATGTAAAATTTCCTCTGTCATCCATTTTGTTCTCTTTGCTGTCTTTAGATTTCTGGTAATATTTCTACTGATGTCTGTTGAAATTACCCTTTTAGCATTTTGCCATTATTCATATATACTGCTTATCTTTTTAATAGCGTTGTAACTATTTTGATCATTAATGGCGTATCTCTTACTCATTTCTTGATTTGATTCAAGCATCGCCAAATCTAGCTTGGTATTTCTTGGAGCTCTTTTTAGTTTCTTAAGCTTTATCCTTAGTTTTCCATGACTGGCACATGGTCTTGTTTTTATTGACAGCAAACTGTTTCTGATTCGACTGTTTATAAGTTTGAATCAGTCTGGTTCCGAAAATTATTTCCATGGTTTTTCCTAGTCCACTTATCATTTTATGCGTCCTAGCTTTTCTCCTCTCTCATATCCCCCTGCCCCTTACACCTGTTAGGTCTTCATCCTTTTCTTGTCCAACCTTTGCACTAAAGTCCTAGCACTATATTTGTTTCCCTGGTTTTACACTGTGCAAAGACTATGTTTAGTTGTTTATAAAAGTCATTGCTTTCTTCCTCCGAAGTGTCTGCCGTTGGTGCACAGACCTGTATAATATTCTTATCTACTACTTTACCACTTAATCTGACCAAAAGACCCCATTCTGATAAAGTCATGTATCCTTTTCACTGTTTGTGCTTTTTCTTTGTCCAAAATAATACTGACACCCCTTTTGTATTTTTGTCAACCTGAGTAAATTATTCGATAGTCATTTGAATACATTGCCCCTTCTAATGTCTTGTTTCACACAATACCAGGATGTTTACGTTCATTCTTCTAATTTTACTCTCGATGTTTTCCAGCTTGCATAAGTGTTCTCACATTTCATGTTCCAGTGATTACTGTCTCATTCTTTGGTTTGCTTACAGTAGCCAGATGACGGTTTGGCTGCAAATGTAGCACACGCAGGTCTCTACCGGACGAGGCAGTTCTTAAACTTCCCTTACCGTCTTTTACGTTTATCGATTGTCGTAGAGACATGACTTTTCTTATCTAAATACTCACATAAGGTTGGAATTTCTTTCTACAGTGCCCATACTGGGAGGGTTGTCCTAGCCATTATGCCTAAACAGGCATCCTCTGCCTAGCACAAGTAAAGTGTTGACAAGTACTGAAAACGTCTCAGCTGTTCACCACGTTTTTCCATCACCTGCCTGTCATAACCTCACGTAACTATGGTCAGAAGGCTAAGCGGTACTCTGCCCCTACCCATGAGGTATCCATGAGGCTAGAGGAGGGAAGGAGGCGCCTTACATCACCTGTTGGTTGGCTTTACTATATCCCGCTACCATGCGTTTTTCATTTTAGCAATTATATTTCTACGAAATCCAATGTGGCACATTGCAACAGAACAGGAAGTCAGCAGTCGAAACCGACCAGTGCAGTTATGTTCAGCCCCAGAGCCTCAGACACTTTGCTGCGCACCTTGCGTTGGTCCACTGCCGTGTATTGTCGCTCTGCTGCTTCTTCTAGCCAAACCATCAAGATGACTCAAGTCTTTTTCGACATAGCAATTGGTGGCTCTCCAGCTGGTAGAATTGTTTTTAAGGTTAGTGCTTGTTTGTTAGCAGCTTTCTTAATGCAAGTAAACTTCCATCAAGAAATGTACCAAACTATATAATTATTATATATAAATTATATAACAACTTGTCTGCAGTTATTCATCTAGCTACTTCAGTCAAATTTTTAAAATGCCCTCTACACCAATAAAACCAACACAGTTAGATAGCTGTAAACAATCTCTTTCCAATGGTACCTCATTTAGGCTTGTATGTCATTTCTGACCTGAGATATGTAGGTTTTTGTGGAGATGAGATGTAAGAAACAGCCGCTAAAACTTGTGACCCAGAAACAAGAAGTTTTTTACTGCGCAACCTACTGCGCAGTTCTGTATCGGCTTTGTTGACATTGGACTGTCATTGGACAAGATGGCAGGCAGTGAGACTCAGCTCACTCAGCCGCATGCGATTGCCTAAAAAATGTCACTGTAAATCTAAACAGCCAGAGTCGGGAAAAAAAATTTAATATGCAAATGTAAAATTGGACGGAGAATTCAATTGTAACTAGCATTACCACAACTGGTAATGTTTAAGCCTAAAGCCAACCTCGAATTTACCGCTATTTTCAATCAAACTGATAGACTAACAGAAAAACAAAGAATGTCCGGCTGTCGTAGACATGCGCTGTTAATCGGGTTCCTTCCCGCCGTTTTCAGCTATTTAGAGTGGGTGAAAATCACACCAATGGCAAAATTTCATGAGATTAGGACCCATCCCGAAACCCCAGCCGACATTTCCGAAACAAGTTTTAAACGGTTTCTATGGTAACGGAAATTGTCGAAAAGATAGCAAATTTCCGGATCTGTGGTCCCTAATTCATCGTCATGGCGCCATTCTTTTTTCCCCTAAACTCTTACTTTCTACCCATCAACTAATTACTTCCGTGTCTGATCTTTTTAGGGACGTTTCCATAATCAGAGACGTCATTTATAGTATATAAGCACGATATAGAAAATTTTTGCCTCAGAAATGTCGGTGGTGGGTCACTGGCGGTGCGGACCACGTGGGCTAAGATTCAGTCAGAATCTGTCCATTGTTTGTTTTGTTCCGATTTTTACAGGTTCCAGGTTATGTACTTGCTTAGCAAAGCAAAGTAAATATTACCACCAAATCCTAGCAGTAGCAGTGTCACAAAATCAAAACTCAATGCTGTGTTAGACAACAGGACTATCCTCCGAATAACGTAGATACTTCAAATTTTTAAAATGCCCTCTACACAAATAAAATCAGCACAGTTAGATAGCTGTAAACAATCTCTTTCCAACGGTACATCATTTAAGCTTGCATGTCCTTTCTGAGCTGAGATATGTAGGTTTGTTGTGGAGATATGAACAAAACGGCTGCTAAAACTTGCGTCTGAGAAACAAAAGTTTTCTCTGCGCAACTTTCGTTTTGGCTTTGTTTTCATTGGACAAGATGGCAGACAATTTTTCTCAGACACAGCCACATAATAGGGATTGCCTGAAAAAATGTCACTGTAAATCTAAAAGACAAGAAAGAAATTTTATACACAAATGTAAAATTGGACGGAGAATTTAATTATAACTAGCATTGCCATGTCTGGTAACAGTTAAAGCCTAAAGCCAACTCGCTATTTTCAATCAAACTGATGCAACAGAAAAACAGGACGTCCGGCTGTCGTAGACATGCGCTGTTAATCGGGTTCGTTCCCGCGGTTTTCAGCTGTTTATAGCTGGTGAAAATCACACCAATCGCAAAATTTCATGAGAGATTAGGACCCATCCCGAAACCCCAGCCGACATTTCCGAAACAAAGTTTCAAACGGTTTCCATGGTATTAAAATTGCCAAAAAGATCACAAATTTCCGAAACTGTAGTCGCTAAATTGAGGTCGAAAATATACCCTAACAGGGCATCAGTCACATGTTAATTGCGGACCTCTTTTTTCTGGCAAATATACCGCCACCGCCGAGAAAAATAGAAGGCTTGAAATAAAGCATACAGTAGCCATCCGAAGTGCTAACACAAACAATCCAACATTAGAAATGCAGTTACATTATCGGTGGTAGCAGAAGTCACCATTAGATCAGCATTTGAACATGTGATCAATTTTAATCATATAATGACACCACCATTATTGCGACAACAGGCATCGCACCATTTTCTGAATATACAGTTCACACCACAATGTTAGTCACAGTCGAGAAACATTCCAAATAAAATTTGCAGCTCACTGTGTTGTGCCATGCACTTAACTCAGAAACTGGGCAACGAAACTATATCTTTTGTCTACAAATGAAGCAAAAATGCAGCTACGGTTCAAAACAGTGACAGTGCCTGTGTCCATTTTGACTGGAAACGGAGCGCTGATAAGGGGTAAGAGTTTATGCAGGCATGTGCCCTTTTTATGGACCGGCTCTTTCAAAAGAGACGCTACCAAGCAAATTTTGGCACTCCCTGAAAAGTGGCGCCCAGAGTATCTGCCATCCCTAGTTATAATACCACTGGCTTTGGTCTCACTGAGAGTAACTTTAGGTTGCAGCCATATAAATAGTATAATGAGCATGTTTCATTTTAATGTATAGTTATGCAAGTAAATTCTCTGTGCTGTTACTTTAGTAATATTGGTAGGGTGTAACATTCATTATTTAGTGCATTACATATAAGTTTGCAGGGATCTGCAAACTTATTTTGCAACTAATCCTTTCTTGCCCTGGTTTTGCGCTCTGTATCTGACATCTGTTCTGCCTGAATAGTAAGATAATGGATATTGCAGCCTAAAAATTACCATGACCAAAAAATGGATACAGTGAGACTGCTGTATGTCATCTTTTATCTGATTGCTCATCATTATTTAAATACTTTTTATTCTTCAGAATCTCTCTTGCGTGGCATAAGTGTTATTTGTATATCTCAATTTAACTACTTGCTTGTACATTGTCCATGTTGCACCAAATTATAGCGTTGAGAAATATTTTATATTTATATATTTTTTTTTGGTTCTTAAAGGTAGATATATCTTATTGACTCACCACTGGCTATTTTCTTCTCTACAGCTCTTTGACAACGAAGTTCCCAAAACAGCAGGTAAGCTTAATATATATTTTAATATCTCCTGTATTGTCCCATAAATGTCAAGCTCATTATTATATGGAACATTTGTGGTGTGATGATTCTTTCAGAAAAAGTTACGGCCATTATGGCTCTGCTTGTTTATGAGATCCTCCTGCCTGAGCTACTAAGTTTAGTGCTTGGTTGCAGCCCCGTAAGCTGTGTTTTTCTTATGACATGCCTTTCATTCGTGCACATGTGTTGTTTTGTTTAGTATGGCCAGTTTATGTGTGAGCTGGTGAAATACCTTATGTGAAATAATTTTACATGTAAATGTATAGTAACCAACTTATGCCCGACTACTTCAACGACGAACTGATTTCTGGTGGCGATTGTTGGTTTTGCCATCATGAGTAACTGAGATACACATTTACTGTGTTTCCCCCGTGTGGGTTCCAGGGCCCCATTGTGGGGGGAAACAAGAATAGACCCACTGCCTCCCCAGAAGCATGTTGTAAGAGTCGACTAATTGGGGAGCTTCCTTTGAAGTCTGAGTGCATCTGCCGGAGAGGCAAGGAACCAACAGTCTGTATTTAAGAGAATGAAATCTGTAAAACTGATGCACACGCAACACTCAGTTCTGAAGCAGGACTGCAGTTCAGTAGGAGACGAGCAACCAGAACCTTACGCCAGAGTTCACAGCTGGTGAACGCGAAGAAGAAGAAGATTTACTGTGTGCACATATTTCTAGATAGTTTCAAACTAGTTTATTCACTAGTTTTTCATGTGCAACAGTAAGGGTTATTCATTTGATTCGCACAGGAACGGAGCAAGTAGGGGGAAACCTGATTGCAGTGATGTTGAAACCTCGACTAACCACACTGTTACATGTCCTCACCATGTGCTACTGTATTGGCCTAAAACTAGCTGGCAGTGGATCTCAGTTGGTGGCCTGCAGGGGTTCAGTGCTTGCCCAGATATCATCTGGCACTCCTCAGTCAGCAACTTAGTGAAGTCAGCCAGATAAGTAGCAAACTAAATGACAGGTCCAGGTGTTGTTCCTTGCTCAAAGATCCTACTGTGTGGAGAGTAATGAACATGCCCGGTATGGCTATAAATAGTCTTGTCTGTATTAACAGAAAAATTAACATGCTGAGAAATTGAGATGTCTTTTTTGTGCATGTCGACAGGCTGCTTCCTGAGATCCATTAGGACACACCGGGGTAATGGAGGCACTGCTTCTGCCTTCTTTTTATTTTTTTTAAAAATATTTTAAATATCCAGAAACCATGAGTTATTAATAACCCTTTGGCTCTGTACTATGGGCATCGGAACTCTCAGACTTTGATCCATGATAAATACCGTAAATCTGGGAGAAATGTGGCTTTTCTTCCTATCCACGGGCGTTGAACCCGGCGCACAAGAAGTTTGTCACCCAGTTGCGGAAGTCGGGTTTAGCCAACTACGCTAGTGAGCCGGGCACCTTCTGCATGCTGCTGGGGACAACATCCTATGTAGTAGGGATGATTCAAGTTTCTCTTTTGCAGTTTGACTGTAGCCTACATGTGTTCACTTAAGCCCTAGAAATATTGATTGCAAAAATAGCCTGTAGGTCTATCGTTTGATAATTCTATTGTGAATGACTTTGTCTTGTTTTTTTGTGTGGACATTTCTTATAAAGCATGGACTGTGTTCAACAGAAGCATCATTTTTTTTCTTTAGCCAATTTTAAAGCACTTTGCACTGGTGAAAAAGGCTTTGGATTCAAAAATTCAAGTTTCCATAGGATCATCCCAGGATTTATGTGCCAGGGTGGAGACTTTACAAATGGAAATGGTACAGGCGGAAAGAGTATCTATGGCAGCAAATTTGAAGATGAAAATTTTATCAGGAAACACACCAAACCAGGTAAATATATTATCCTGTATATATACAATTACCATTTATTATTGTCTTGGTGCTTTTACACGAAAAAAGCAAGTTATTCTCGCTTATTTAAATGATTTCCTAAATCCTTAAGCTAGCTGAATGATTTTGACATGATTGATTTGTCATATATTTGTTTTGAGGTGCTTGTGTCTTTAGTTATCTAGCCTTGTACAAAACAGCATTCAGCCAGTTTTTTTTAGGCTGACAAGACCAATGTATATTTATCTACAAGAGAATAGGGATTTTAAAAAAATATCACAATATGGGGGTCATACATCATTTTCGTTTCAGTTGACAAAAATATTGCTAATTTTTAAAAAAGTATAATAATCATAGAATTGATTACACACCTATTTTAAATATATATACAATTTAACATAAAAAATTTGTAATAAAGATCCCACTCTATTTGTATGTGTAAGATAAATTTAAACGACATTCATAATGGGAGACAGTAATACACTAGATTGCTTGTCAGCCAAGGGAAGAAGATTTTAGGTAATGCATTTAAAAAATATTTTATCAGACCCTTTTTGAATAAAATTTTGATTGCATTATGAACATTTAGTGTCCTTTTTAAAAAAAATATTCCTAAATTCCGTCCACTAGGTTTTGCCAACCTTTTCTTAACGTATGGAGCTTGCTAGTCACAATCACCATTGCTAAGGACATATTGCAGTTCCTCAAAGATGGAAAAGTACTAATGATAATTAGGCATACACTATAGAACTAGACCTACACTCTTTATCCACATTTTACTATGTATCCTTATGTTTACAACCTTTGCAACCCACTTTTAGATTGCCACGTTATATTTGTGACATAATGAAGATTGTTTCCCCACTCCTAGGTCTTCTGTCCATGGCAAATGCTGGACCAAACACCAACGGATCACAGTTTTTTATCACAACAGCTATCACTTCATGGTTGGTATATGTTATGTTGTCTGTAATATTTAAATTACAAATAATTTGCTTCATCTGACTGACCACTGTATGCCAGTAGCCGGTACCACGCTTTTTGTTAATGCGAATGGTGGGCGGCGTATACTAAACCTAACATTAAATTACACTTCACAGTTGGTATATGTTATGTTGTCTGTAATATTTAAATTACAAATAATTTACTTCATATGACTGACCTACTATATACCAGTAGGCGGTACCACACTTTTTGTTGTTAATGCGAATGGTTGGCGGCGTATACCAAACCTGACATCCCATATAGTACCAAATGCTTTGTGTGAAGGAGTGCATTGGGGAGGATACTAGCCTTATCCTAGGAAGCTGACAGCTGGTCTAAGTGGGAAGCTCGACATTAAAACAGATAGAGCAATGCTTTTCTGGTTCTGCAGTCTTCTTTGTTCCATATGTACTGGTGTTACTGTTCCTTTGTAAAGCATAAACTAGGTGCCACAGATTGCCTCCTGACAGTCGAAGACATTTTCAAATGTCACTGATTACCGTCTGCCTCAAGTCAATGAGATGGTAATCCACTACAGCCTGTATGCTTCAGTGGGTGCTTGGAGCTGAGACAAATCCTGAATGGCAGGCTGTAAAAACTAATTAACCAGGCAATAAAAAGACTTGCCTGTTAGAACATCAGACCACATGTCTTTGGTTTTCCGCTAACATGAAAACATTTTTTTTATTTATCAAGCCTATACAATGCTCGTTGGATAAATGCTAAGGCCAGGATGGGAAAGGTAAGGTCTCATGGGAGCAGGGTATCATGTTGGAAGGGGATCTGAGGGAAAGCAGGATAGACACTGATGTGGGGAATCCTATGTTGTAGTTGCAGAGGATTTGGCGGGGATGGGTGGTTCTTGCTGGTTGTGGTCACTGGTACCATGCCTTCTCAAATCACTCGTCCGGAAAGATGGAAAGGTGCCAATCAGTCAGGTTAATTAGGGGTTATAATTTTTTTGTAAAGCATTAAACAGTTGCACATAGTTATGGCAAGTGCAACTATATAAAAAAAAACGAGACGCCTGACACATGAGAGGGCTTGTTAATCAACAAAGAGCTGGTACTGGACGCTGGGATTCATGGGGAAATCTTAAGCCCTTATGGACATGTCTGTATTACAGTGATAACTGAACTAAGTGCTTGTATCATCACACCATGTATACACACTGACATCGGTCTAAAATGATATTGTAGATTCATTTGCAGTTACATGAGGATTTGGCGTGCGTGTGTGAAATTTTGTAGAATTGCTCGTGCAAATACTTGTACTGCTGCAGTTGCCTTATAAATTTCGGTCCCTACTTTACAGAGTCACCTTATGATTTTAGGTATTTTTGTAACGATATTTTGAATACATTTTTTAAAATGTTTTTTTTCACAAATTTTTATTTTTTTTTTAGATGGTAATCATTTATGTTTGGAAGAATTTCAGCGGGTTACAACTGTGGTATATCTCATACGCATGGAGCTGTGGACGATCCTGAGCACACATGTCTGTATTACAGTGATAACTGAACTAAGTGCTTGTATCATCACACATGTATCACACCACATCCTCTAAAATATTTGTAGATTCATTTTGCAAATACATGTACATAGGCTGCAGTGAATTTTGTAGATTGATCTTGCAAATACTTGTACATAGACTGCAGTGAATTGTTTCCCCTACATTTACCATGAAGTCACCTTGATGTTATATATGTATATGTTAAAGATATTTGAATCAATTTTAATGTTTTCTTTCACAAAATTTGCCTTTTCAGGTTAGATGGTAAACATGTTGTGTTTGGAGAAGTTGTCAGCGGGTACAATGTGGTTGAGACGATGGAGGGTGTGGGATCCCAGAGTGGGAAACCATCCAAGCCTGTGTCTATTACCAACTGTGGTGTACTGTAAGATGGTCTGCCAAGTGCATTGAGCTGCCAACCATTGATTTTTTTTTAGTAGTTAGCACAGTAGAGTGCAGATTACTCAACTTGATTCTGTGAATTTGTAATCGTTGATTGTCACTATCGTTATCATTTTTCACACACTTTACACATTTGTGGTGTTTATCTTTTTTTTTTAAATTTTGACCTGTACCTTTTTTTTTTCCAGAAATTAAAATTACTAATTAGATCATGTACCAATAGTGTTTTGTTTTGTATATTTACTTAATAATAGTCCAATTCATTTGGTTAAATCACCATGAAGTATAGATAATATACTTAAGTGACATGACGGCTGAACACATCATTGTGTCCAAAATAAAACAGGAAATTATTCTGGCTAACACCCACCAGTTTAAGGACAAACTCTGGAGATAACCTTAAACTGGATGCTGATTTCTTCTATATTCACAATGATGTTTACAGATTTTAAAAGAAGAAAACTCAGGGATTCCCCAAAGCTGCAGCTCATAACCCATGACATGGGAAGCAAATAAAACACCCATCTGTCCGTGTATTGCAACACTGAATGCCCTAGGCGCCTGTAGGGAAAGTCAAATCAGGGTTCATAGCCGACCTTGAAAAGATCGGTAACTGCAAAATCCCTCTCTGGGCCTTGCAAAAATTCGGGATTTGAATGAAAATTCTTGAACTGACCCACCAAACCTTGAATTTTTACACACTGTAACCAGGGCATAGAAAAAAAATTGCGTGCGATCTGACTTGCCTTTTTGCAGTTATGTAGTTTAAATTGATCGTTAGTAAACTGCGCGGGCAAGAATGTTGGGCTTCTGTCGTTTTAAAGGTGTGCCGGCAATCTGAGCGGGAAAGCGACAGTTCACGGTCTCATTCTTTGCTGAGTAGGATCGCCTTTCTTTTCTCTCGACCCTTTCCCCTTCTCACTCCCTTCATTTGGCATAGCAGGGCAGCTGATACTCGGTGCAGAAAAGACCCCAGTCCAATGCATAATTTACCAATAAACAGCCAAAAGATATGGACGTGGCTCTGGTATCTGCTGAACTGATATGTTTACATGACTGACAAGTCACTAGACTAGCCACTTGACCAGGTGACTCTGACAGTGTGATTGCTTGGCTCTAGTGTCGCCCACCATCGCCCCTGTTTGTAGATAGTGTACTGGGGTACTTGACAGCGACCACCTGCCCTGTTTTCTTAGTTGAGATGATTGAAAAAACCAGCCACATTAGCAGAATAAATTCTTTCCAGAATGATAACGCAGGACAGGAACCATCGGCAAAATTCGACGTGCAAAGTAAATAATCATCAGTAGAAGTGACAAGACTTTCTTTTCCACTAGAACCTGGACCAGCTCACCTAGGCCCGTCCCCCACGACGTTCCGTTGTGTCCAGAGCCAGCTCGAGACCCTCTCTGGAGGCCCAGTTGTTTTAATGTTCTTTTGCGCTTGTTTCCTCGCAAACCAAGTTTTTTAAATTTTAAACGAGACCTCTTTTCACGAACTACAGGATCAAGATCTGGAGGTTAAGCGGCGTGGGGATGAATAATTTGCGATCCAGTGCCTTTGTGTTTTGTCAACATTATTATCTACTTCTGCCATTGAGCGGCGTGGGAAGGAATAATTTGCGATCCAGTGCGTTTATGTTTTGTCATCATCATCTCCTTCTGCCGTTAAGTGGCATGGGGAGGAATATTTTGCGATCCAGTGCATTTGTGCTTTATCATCATCATTTTCATCAACTTTTACCGTAAAGCGGCGTGGGGAGGAATAATTTCAGATCCAGTGCGTTTGTGTTTTGTCATCATCATCATCTTCTGCCGTTGAGTGGCATGGAGAGTAATATTTTGCGATCCGGTGCATTCGTGTTTTATCATCATCAGCATTATCATCAACTACTTCTGCCGTTAAGCGACGTGGGGAGGAATAATTTGCCATCCAGTGCATTTGTGCTTTGTCATCATCATCATTATCATCAACTACTTCTGCCGTTGAGCGGCGTGGGAATGAATAAATTGCGATATAGTGCATTTGTGTTTTGTCATCATCATCATCCACTCCTGCTGTTCAGCGGCATGGGGAGGAATAATTTGCGATCCAGTGCATTTGTGTTTTGTCATCATCTACTTCTGCCGTTGAGCGGCGTGAGGAGGAATAATTTGCAATCCAGTGCATTTGTGTTTTGTCATCATCTACTTCTGCTGTTGAGCGGCGTGGGGAAGAATAATTTGCGATCCAGTGCATTTGTGCTTTATCATCATCATCATCAACCACTTCTGCTGTTATGCGCCGTGAGGAGGAAATTTGCGATCCAGTGCATTTGTGTTTTGTAATCATCATTATCAACCACTTCTACCGATAAGCGGCGTGGGGCGGAATAGTTTGCGATCCAGTTCACGCTAGGTTGTTTTGTGATTTGTGTGTTAAAAGAAATTGAAACAGCTGAAACATACCAGTCATTTTGGAACTGAAGCTTCAACTTCATCATCAAAGCTAAGTTTTTCCTGTGGATTTTGTGAAACAGACATCAGTGAAGATGAGGCGTTGATTCTATAAAGTCATATCAATAGCTGTTTAATTTGTGACTGTTTCCATTTGAATGTTTATTCTAGATCTTTTCCGTGCAAATCTTAATATTTCTATATATTTTTGACCAATTTCTAAATGTTTTCTTTCAAAGAAAAGAGTTTTCAGAGGTAGGAAATTATAGGGAACAGAAACGGGGGTGGGGGTAAGAAAGAACAAAAAGTATTTGTTAGTTTTACAAAATCGATCACAATAAACAAACAAAGGACGTTGCGGCGATTAGTCTTCATCGGCACATAAAGAACAACACAGGACACATACATAAATATGCTTTAAAATAAATGATACTCATCTGTGTCCCTGGCGATAAACTTCGTTCAAGAGGATGAATAGGACAGGTACTAGACTATATATCGTCAACGCGATGAGAGGAAAATGGGTTTGGTATACCTGGGAAATGGGAGGAGTTTACGCCAACAGAGACAACAGCGTGCACTGAGTGTCTTAAGGGGGAGAGAGGGGTTGGCAAATAGCGTAACCAGGGTTGGGTTGTGAGGATGACACTAGTACATCCCCATGGAATAAAAGTGGTGCCTTTGCTAGCAAACAAATACAATCAGACGGACAGACAGGCCTGCTGACAAACAGACAGACAGGCAGGTTGGCAGTCAGACAGATGGATAGATAGATAGATAGACGAATGACATTCGGCCCTTCTAAGCACTCATTTTTCGGAGTACCAATGCCTGTTATCTAAAATGCTTGTTATGGATATAATTTAAAAAATATACAATATAGAATAATGCATACACACATCATGTGTACACAATCTTACACATACGCACACACACACACACACACATATATATATATATATATATATATATATATATATATATATATATATATATATATATATATATATATATATATATATATATATATATATATATATATATATATATATATATATATATACACAGATACAAAAATACCTAATACATACATATATACACAAACAGAAAAGACACACACATACATATATGCACACACACATTCCATACATACACACCTACACATGCAAGCATGCATACAAACACATACAATCACATGTACAGACACCCACAACCACACATTTACACTCACATGTAAACATACATACATACATACATACATACATACATACATACATACATTCATACATACACACACACCCATACAGATACTCACATACATACATACACTCATACATACATAATGCTTGCCTACATTATGTACACACATACCCACAATCACACATACACTCATATACAGTCACACATACTTAAAACATATATTCATAAATACACACACATACAAACTTAAATATACATTCATATATCCAAATGCATGCATACACACACACACCCACAATCACACATACACCCAGATAATACATACATATATACACACATATAGATACTTTTATACATACATACCCACATACATTCATAAATACACACATCCACATACCTACACAGCTACATATACCGACAAACATCCACATACATACATGAATACACATACACCCATATACTTACACAGCTGTATTTACATAGTTACATTCTCATACATATACAGACATACATAATACATGCACCTACATATATGGACGCATACATACATCCACATGTATACATACATACATGGACTACATCTACATGCATACACACATTCATACATACATTCACATACTTACACACATACATGCTTTCATACATACACACATCCATACATACACTCACATACTTAGATAGATAGATAGATAGATTGATTGATTGATTGATTAATTCATTGATTGATTAATTCATTGATTGACTGATTGATTGATAGGCAAGCAGACAGACAGATAGACAAACAGACAGACGGACGGACAGACAGATACACAGATAGAGAGAGAGAGAGAGAGAGAGAGACAGACAGAAAGACAGACAGTGTGCCAATAAATGAAATCAGGTAAAAACAAGGGTCTCATAACACGATGCTTCTCTGTTACTGTCAGCTGTTACTATCAGTCGAACCGAGCACAGAAGTGGTAAAAACCAGAATTAAGGAAGTGATGGAAAAATAGCATGGGTGGATGGTGAGGCGAGTGGGTGGTGAGATAAATGGGTGGGTAGATGAATGGATGGGATAAAAGTTGGCTCTCTTAGTTGAAGAATGGAATTGTAGATAGATGGATGGATCTATGTGTAACTAAAGTAAAGTAAGTAAAGATCCCTGTACACGCCCTTAGGCGCATCAGGCATATGGGAAGAGCACCCATATTTTTACAGACCAATCGGCACTCGGTGGGTAATGTGGTCAGCATTACGCCTGCCGTCTTTACTTTCCCAGGACAGCCCATCCTGGTACCCATTTGAGGCTGGGTGGACCAGCGACGTCCCATACCACGATAAAAATCCACGCAGTGGGTTTCGATCGCGCA